GAGGACGGGAAGACACTGGTGTCTGGGGAGCAAAGGCAAAAGTAGGTGTGGGTGAGTATGTGGTAGGAGAAGGGGTGGAACGTTTAGTCTGTCTCCTGCGGGTAGTGCGGGGACGGAGAGGGGAGGGTATTGTGGCTGTAGTTGAGATTGGAGTGTCTGGATTTAGCGTGGCAAAAGAATTTGATTGGGGAAGATAGAAGGTAAAAGTGGAAGTAGGGAAGTAAGTAGGTATAGGAGAGAGTGTAGGAACATCTTGGGAAGGAGGGGGAGGGGCAGAGCGAGCGACATTACTGGAGTAGGGAGTATGAGAGAACCCTCGACGACGTGCTTCCTGTCTGGCTTCACGCAGAGTGAGACCAGTTTGTATCTGAGAGTTGCCACCTCAGACTCAAACTTGTACGTGGGGCAGCCCCTTTAAAATACATTATTGGGGCCCCCTCAGTTAGTACATATGCGTGATTGTGCAGAGCAGTTTGATCGGTTATGACTAGGTTGGGATCAGGCTGTGGAACGGTAGTGTTTGGCAGCATGTCCAAAACGCCAACAGTTTTGACATTGACGGGTAGGAGGTTGGTATGTTCGGACAGGGAGGAATTGTCCACCAATGTAGATATGAAATGGAAGGTCATGTCTACGGAAAGCAATTTGGCAATGTTGGTGGGGTTCTTTCGATGACCTTTAGGAGGAATGGAGTAGCACTGTACCGATATCACATCACAGTCCTTGAGGCAGGCGAGTAAGTCTTCTCCACAATCTGACCAGTCTTTGGTATCGATAGGGCACTTTGCTGGGAAGATAAAGACAGTTCCGGTACAAGTATTAAGGGTCGGATGAGGTTCTGCAGGAATGGGGTTGCCAGAGAGATCAGTTAGATTTGATAGTTATAGCTTCAGTTTCAGATGTAACTGTAACGAGACGGGAACGATTGGGTCGGGTACGGAAAGGGACTCTGTCCATTTGCTTTTGGAGACATTGTTAAAAGAGAAGAGTGTTGCCTGTGTAAGGAGCTGTAGGGGGATCACGAAAATTCGGTCCCATTTGGCTGGGCTAAAAAGAGTATTTAAGATATTTCTAGAGCTAGGGGTAGTAGAAGGACGGGGTCGTGTGGGAGAGGGGGTATTGCTGAGGGGGGTAGTATTTCGGAGAAGTGGAGAATAAAGCTGTAAAGTAGTAATAAGGGAGGATGGGGTGATTGATGAAGGCTGTGGGGGTAGAGGTGATGAAGTTGAGGAAGTTGGGAGAGTAGGAATGACTCCTGGAGATTGAGTCTTGACTTGGGTGGATAATGTACTATTAGGCATTGAGGGGTGTGTAGTAGTTGCAGTGTTCAGAGTCGTGGCCAAAGGAGAGCCTGGAGTTTGAATTGGTGGGGCTATTTGATGAAGGGGCACGTCTCATTGCCCCTAATAAGGGTATTGTGTCTTCATTATTGGCCATGGGAAGCCTTGACTATATTGGGGTAAGAAACAGTCTACCCTTCAGAGTCCCCTTGAGGGGTAAGGGCTAGACAACTAAAACGGGAATACCGTGCCCATGGTTCCCTCAGGCCATTCAGGACTGGCACAGTCAGCCTTTCATCATTTCAGCACGGCTCTTACACCTTAGGAAGTGGATAGTAGAAGGGGTTGGAGAAGGGAAGGAAACAAAAGAGCAGGAGGGAGAAAAGGTCGTGCAAAATTAGTTGAGTCGAGGGCTGAGGCCCAAGGTTGGGGAGATCCCCACCATTGGGTCCCATACCTCTTCTCCTAAGCCCCCACACAACAACAACGGGCAAGGGATCGGGGGGGTGGGGGTGGGGATTTATATAAATTACATGAAGATATGCCTAATAATCTACATCTTATAAAAAAAAACTCCTGACAAGGACCACATCAAGAGATACCTTCAATGAAAATAGACCCCCAAAACAAACATGTACTTTAGTTTTCATTTTGTGCTCTAATATTGCAAATATTCTAAAGATGGAAATAATTATCTTTCATTTTAACTCAATAAACCTATTTCATAACATTGTGGAAAATAAGAAAAACATAACTCCTTTTTGCATATGTCCTAAATAAGAGCTTCTGCATGATGTAATGACGTAGTCACTTCAGGAAGGTAGGAATTAACAAGGATGATTAGATCAAAAGGAAGAAGTGTGGGATTTTGCAAGGATAGCCATAGGGTACGGTAGGGATCAACAAAGGAGAAAGGTGGTTTAAGGATTATTAGATCAAAGTTTCAGGCAAAATGTCAGGAGTAAGAGAATACAGGGAAGGTTTGTTGTGACAAAGGATCAGTTTCAGGGGGAAGCGGAAAAGAGAATCAGGAAGGAAGAGGGATTGATGCATCTGAAGCATGAAGGAATGGGATGTGTTGGGAGGGGATGGGAGGAAGGGGTGAAGGGGGGAACATGAGTAAAAGGAGGATGGATGTCAACAGTTACTTTGAGTGTAGAAGGCATGGGAGCAGAGAGATTGGAGGATGGATTAGGTGTAGGCATATTATCTTGTGTCATGATTAGATAGTTTTGGATGTCTTTGGGTGTTTCTGAGGTGGAGTTGGTTGGGGAGTTCTGGGAAACGAAGGTTTTCTTATGTGGGGGAGAAGAGGGGACAGATGTTTTAGGGGTGAAGGGAGAGGTTGATGGAGGAGAGAACAGGGTAGGAGAAGATGGGTTGGAGCATTTAGCTTGTCTTATGCAATAAGCTGGGCGAATAGGGAGAAGGGAAGATACCAAGGTCATTTTAATTAGATTGTTTGGAATAGTGGTGGAGATTGGGGTGTTTGGATTTAGACTGGCAAAAGAATTGACTGGGAGAGAGAGAGGGTTGAAATGGCATAAGGAAGAGATACTGTGGGAGATTAGAAACATCTTGGGAGGAAAGGGGAGGGGTAGAGCAAAGGACATTATTGGAGTTGAGCGTGAGAGAAAAGCCTCGTTGATGTACTTCCTTTGTGTAAAGTGAGGCCAAGTTTGAACCTAAAAATTGCCACTCCCACTTATGGGAGCCATCACAATTGGCAAATGTGCATAACTTTGCTGAGTAGTTTGATTGATTATAACCAGGTTGGGCACATAGAGGGCACTGGACTGTGGAATGGCAGTGTGCAGGTTGGCCTAGACACCAACAATTCTAACATTGATAGGGGAAGGATAATATGGTCAGACAGGAAGGGACTGTCCGCCAATGATAATTTTAAAGGGAAGGTCATGTCTACAGAAAGTAATCTTAGCAATATCTTTGGGGGCCTAGCAACAGCCTCTATGGGGGATGGTGTAGCATGGTACTGATACTACATCATGGTCCATGAGGCAGGAGAGTAAGTCTTCTCCACAATTTGACTGATTCTTGTTGTAGACAGGGCAGTCTGTCAAGGAGATGGAGACAGTTCTGGTGCAAGTATTGAGGGAGGGATAAGGTTGAGCAGGAAGACAAAGTCAGTCAGGGTTGATAATACTAAAGCTCGGGATTCAGATGCAACTGTGACAAGGCCGGAACAATTGGGGTGGCAACTAAACAGGAATTCCGTGCCCATGGCTCCCCAAAGCCATTCATTAGTAGCACAAAGTCAGTCTTTAATCCTTTCAACATGGCTCTCACACCTTAGAAAATGGATAGTAGAAGTAGTTGGAGAAGAGAATGGAAATGAAAAGGGGAATGGGAAAAGACCATGTAAAATTAGTTGAGTTGAGGGCTGAGGCCCATGTCAGGGGTGATCCCTAGCATAGGGTCCCAGTCTCCGTCTCCTGAGCCCCCTTCAACAACAATGGGCATGGGATTGGGGGGACTCTCCAGAGGAGTGATAGTTCTAATCTCTGCTCTTAGTCAAGGTGGATTTGAGTCTTCCAATTAGGTTCTTGTCTCAATCATAATCTGTGCATGGCAGGGGTGATTTATTTTATTTATTGAAAATTTTCTGCTATGTCAACATCTAAGGTCATTAGCAGCATATACAAAATATGGCAATAGGGTGAGGCTTGGGGGTGAAGCCCCAGGTAACAAAAGCTCATACTGAATCATGATAAAGTATTGCAAAAAGGTTAAAAAGTTAACAATTTGGAAAAAATATGTTAGATGTCAAAGATTATTGAGCACTGCTGGTTAGTATGGTAGAGAAAAGGGTAAAGAGAAAATAGCAAATGGAGTACGAAGGCCATTCAGGACTGACAAAGCCAGCCTTTCATCCTTTCAGTATGGATTTCACACTTAAGGATGTGAACAGAAGGGAATGAGAAAGAGGAAAGGAGAAGAAAAAAACATGCAAAATTAGTTGAAGCGAGAGCTGAGCTTCAAGGTAGGGGTGATCACCCAACTTTGGGCCAAAGTCTCTGTCTCCTAAGCCCCCTACAACGACGAGCATTGGATTGGGAGGTGGCAGACAAGTCTAGACCAACACCCTGACTGACTTTTTCTGCCAACTTTGAAAATAGTTGGCCAGTTCTTGATTGTGGTGATGGAAAGAATATTGCCTTATATTGTAGTCTTTAGCATTTTCCTCTCCAGTATCATTAAATGAACAACAAATGATCACTGCATTTCTAAATTCAAAATCTTGGCCCATTTTTTAAATATTCTCCATTAACCTACTTAGTCTGCTTACTCATTGAAAAAAAATGGATAAATCAATACTTGATTTAAATACAGAATACAGAATTTAACTTGTGGTCAGTTACTAAATAATGAAATTAACAGTTGCTGTCTTCTGTGCACTTTTCATAATCTGGTGAATATCAATTTGTAACTTTTGCATTTCATTTCTGTTTGACATTATTTATAATAGAGTTAATCTAAAATTAACACAGTAATTGTGAATATATATTATTTTGCTTACCCTCCCATACATAATACAAAAGGGAGCTCGTTAGCTTCCATTTCATATGCTGAAAATCAAAGTAGTTGAGTTTTAACTGAAATACTGGCCACTTGTCTTGACCTGAGTAATACTAAATCCATCACATTTACTTTTGAAAATTAACCAGACTTGATGTCAAAAAAAGAAAAGAAAAGAAAGAATCATCATCATCATCAACACCCACTCTACATGTTATCTTTATTATGTCCTTTGTAACAGATTTTGATTCAAATATCTATATATACCAAATTACAATGCATATGTTTTCAACTCATTTTAAAGGACACCATACATCTTTTTTTTTCTTTAAGCTGAGGTGTCCATCTGATTTACAACATTGTATATTTTCAAGATTGAGTGCCCAGGTGTTATGAGAATACCACTGCATCAGTCAAGAAAATGGAATTATTCAGTTCGGTTCATCTATGCACCTTATACATGATATTAAAGGCTTCCAAATGAATTCAAACTCTTTTGCTTCAAATTCATTATATCATTCACATCTGGTCCTCATTTTTTGTTTACAGAGAGAAACGATACAAAACTGATTAAGTGGAAAATTTACAATAAGGGCATCTGTTTGACAAGACTAAAAATAGGTAAAAAAAAATATACACATCATATCAAAGACAAAAATTCACAAAATTTAATTTAAAAGAAAAAGAATTGAAATATTATTTTTGTCAAGGAATATTTAATTTCATTAGCAACTGCAGACTGTAAAAGTTTCAGTCAATTAAAAATGATGAGCTGCATTATGCTTTCCGAGTGCCATAAGTGTGGGAATTCCTCATTTATACTTCGAAACACAACATGCAGAATACAATCACAGTGAGCGGTTTGTCTTTTCAGGTGGTAGAGCCTCTTTTCATTTCTTCTTTCCTTTAGCTGCCAATTCCATGCCTCTAATGTATTTTCTTGGTATATGATACGTTTCTGGAAGGAAATAAAAAAATGTCAATTAAAGTTACTAACAATTCCTGCTGTTGTATTAAAAAGTGCTAATTTCATGGTGAAGACGTGTAAGGCATGCCCCACTCAATTGATTTTAGTTTTGAATTAATGACACTGAAAAATCATATTCTACATCAAAGATGAATAAGGGATTGATTTCAGAAAACCTATTACTCGGCTATCATATTATGCACAGTATAAAAATATGAATACCAAATAATGTGGTCTATTAGATACACAGTGCAATTCACACAACGGATTTCAAACAAGGTGATCTAAACAAAATATTTGAGAAAATAACCCTCTGGCGTTGGGTGCATGGATTGTCCACTGTTATTTTCTGTAAACTGTCAATTTCATATAGATAATAATAATGCTACCATTATCATTATTAACAACAATATCATTAATGACATAACTATTATTTCAATGTTAATAATGATACTGATAGTAATTATGGTAAAACCTTTTTTTGGGATAGCATGTCTGATAGGCCTTGGTGACCAAGCATCTACAAGTATGTGTAAACAAAATTAACCCAGTGCCGAAGGGTAAAAATGTTTGGCAAGTGGACGTAAGAACGGAATTGTTGGCACACATCGGCAGTTTCCCGTTTGCGCCCAGCTCAATCGGTAGTTTGCGAGTGACATTTGGCACCTAAAAGCTTTTATTTTGCTATAATTTATAAAGATATTATAATTTTGAAGGTTTACCTTCATTATAGGTGCCATTGCCTAAAACCCTAAAATATAAATGAAGCTGCTACTATCGGAGAAAAACAAACTCCATCTGACAAGCCATCCGTTTTTCGGTCCACAACAGCCATGGAATGTACGTTCATGCCACCCGTCGGCTACGGGTTAACCTAAAATCACAGAGGATACAGGGAGGGTGGTGTGAAGAGTGAATGAGTGAGAAAGAGAAAGAGAGTGAAAGAAAAAAAAAAGAATGAAGAGAAAGAAAGAAAGATAGATGTACACTTCCACCTTCATATACAGCTGCCTTACCTAACAACAACTTAGAGACAAAGGCAACTTGGTTTCCCTGTACAAGTACTTGTGTTGTTCCTTGGGGTTTGTGCTCGGCTGGTCCTACACTGGTGCTTGCTGCAACTCCAACCTGAATCTGATGAGCAAATTCTGCTTCGTCGATGCCATAAATGTTTGCATTGTATATCAAAGTTACCTGCAATCAAAAATTGGATTTATTTTCTGGTTAGTTTTAATTGTTTTTCCCTACACAGTGTACACTCTTTTATATTTAATTCAATGTTGTATGCTATAAAATCTTAAATAAACAATTCAATGACCTGTTCCTATAATTAATGATAAAAATAATTGTAAACCGATCATATACAATAAAAGCAATTCAAAAATTCAAACCCTTCCACAATGTTTGACAAAAGAACTATTGTAGCCGACCCCCGCAACCTGCAGCGCAGAATACTTTCCCCAGGTTGGGTCCAGGTCCACAGCCTGTCCTCTTGCCCTCACCATCAGCAGCTTCTCGACGACACATACCGAGACCTGATTGGTTGACCACGGACACCTCACGGCTCGCCCACTGGACCGCAGGCTCCCCTTGTTCCCGGGTGGCTGGCACAGCTCAGACCCACTTAAGCTCCCGCACCCGGGCCGAGTTCATCACTCACGATCCTCCAGCCGAGCAAGACACAGCAAGCAGCAACTAGGCCTACCCAGGCCTTAGTGATGGGTGAACGTCCCGGCTCTCCCGGCGATCTCCAGCACACCAGCCATACATGTGGGCACTCACACCCACACCCAAAAGCTCCTTAAAGAGATGATTGACACCAGCCTATGGCAGATACCAATCCATTGCCATACTGGTGACTTTCCGGAGTGACACAAATACCCAGCCTTTTGGAGTATCACGGTTATCGCTCACTCGCTTAGCTCCCTCAATGGAGGGGGAGTACCTGTAGCCGACCCCCGCAACCTGCAGCGCAGCATACTTCCCCCAGGTTGGGTCCAGGTCCACAGCCTGTCCTCTCGCCCTCACCATCAGCAGCTTCTCGACGACACATACCGAGACCTGATTGGTTGACCACGGACACCTCACCTCGCCCATTGGGGAGGGGTTCCCGGGTGGCTGGCACAGCTCAGACTCACTTAAGCTCCCGCACCCGGGCCGAGTTCATCACTCACGATCCTCTAGCCGAGCAAGACACAGCAAGCAGCAACTAGGCCTACCCAGGCCTTAGCCGACGGGTGAGCCATCCCGGCTCTCCCCGGCGATCTCCAGCACACCAGCCATACCTGTGGGCACTCACACCCACACCCACACCCAAAAGCTCCTTAAAGAGATGATTGACACCAGCCTATGGCGGATACCAATCCATTGCCATACTATTAACCCATTGGATTTGGGTGCCTCGCAGCTAGCACATGTCTTATAGTCCCAGTCCACGTGAACACTAATGCATAGTATCAAGATTTCTTGCCTCCTCTTTATATACACAGTTTTACCATTTTCCAAGGTCTGCACTTGTCATTTGTTATGCTGTAACAAATTCCTATACTCAATCCACTCCTACCAACTACTCAACACACCATCACACAATGACCTAGGAATCACACTACACACCAACATGAAGTTCCACACACATATAGACAACATACAACACGAAGCAAACAGAAAACTGGGTACAGATGATGTAAAAACTCAGCTTACAACATATTTGTCTATCCAACACTGAAGTATTGCACAGCAGTGTGGTACCCACACATGCAAACAAATATTGCAGCAGTCAGGTTCATTCCAAACAATTGCACTAAAACTTCCGGCATCATAACATGTATGAAACTACTTAATATGGACACCCTCACAATGCACAGCCAAACACAGATTTTACATCTTTCAAAATCATAAGTGTCCTTGCTATAGTTGGCACTCTTCTAGACATGGCTCATCCTTGTTTCCCAGTGGAAATAATGCAAAAGATCCTTTCAAAAAGCCCACTGAGTCTAATTTCCCTCCAAGTGTATTCACAGCCACATGTCCACACCATCTACCACTCAATTACAATATCATGGTGATGTGTGCTCGTCACCCCAATTTTTTCCATAATGACACATTCCCATCATCTGCTACTCAGCCAAAAAAAATTATGACATGACATCCATGTCAACTTTTTTCAATGCAGAAAAAACGAATGACAGAAAGAAAGAAAAAAAGGAAAAAGGCTAAACTAATTCATCTGAAAGGTATGATGACAATTTAGAAATCCAAGCATTTTATGGATGAAATCACATTTGATAACACTCACTAGCATAACAGTGAAATTAGCAAAATAAAGTATACCTTTTTATTTCCACTTCTCTTGGCAACATTGATTTCTATTGGTTCCAGTTTGCCCTTCCTGATAACCGGATTAAATCCTGGTCTAGTAATTCTTATTGCAGGTGCCATCTTGCCTAGCATGCGGGAAAAGATCTCGTCCCAGCGCAACTGCTCTTTATAACCTTCCTTCCTGTTCACAACAGCTTCGTGGAGCACTGGGTCTAGGTTAACCATCCTTAGAAAAAGAAAAGAGACAGAATCTTAGCAAAATGAGCTTTATAGCAATGTAATACAATATTAAAGATGTGAAAGTTACTAAGCATATATATACTAGAGATATGCTCTGTTGAAATGCATGCTTACCTGTCATCTTTCTTCTGGAGACCTTTCTTCTTTATATAACTGGTGACTATTTCTCTGACTTCCTTTGTTACCAAGACATCACCTTTGCTGAAACAAAAAGCATCACAAATGAAATTTCATTGGATACATAGTATAATTTCCTGGTCTATTTACTTTAAAATTCAGATGGCAAGATATACAAAATTGTAAAACAATATTTAGTATAAGCTTTCTTTAGTTCCAGGCAATTACATTTTCCTTTTTCATAAACTTATTGAGAACCCATTTTGCATAAACATTAAGAAATACAAATCCTTGCATCAAAATTTACCAAAGACCATTGGCTTTATAGAACTGCAATGTATCCCCAGACACTTGATAGACCTCCTCAATCTGGGGGGGAGTAAAAGTACGAGCACCACTATTGGTCACTTGTTTGACAGTAGTTTCCTCCTGAAATAATAAATAGTTTTAAAACTAGGTACAATCAATTCTTACAAATGTACATATCTTCATATCCAAGTATAGAAGCCAAAATATCATGCAAAGGAAACTCACCATATCTACAACAAAGCTTATGAGGTCGTCATGGACCCAGTTCACAGCCGTGATATTTTCCACACCTTTTGGGAATTCTTTCACTTGTATTATCTCTTGTTTTGCCATTTCATTCAAGAACTGGAAAAAATATATAATAAATCAATAAATACTGAGGTAATCTGTGACAGTAATCAGTCCAAATACACATGGCATTTGAAGTTAATGTCTTAGGGAGAATAAGAAAAAGATATGTGGAAGGCTACTGTTAACCCCTTGGATCCTGTTCCTTAATGGCAATCATATGGACCAAAATACAGGCATTAGGATTAATTGAACAGCTAGTGTGCTAGGTGCGCAGCTTGTAGGCTGGCAATTGTAAACACTGTACATGACAAGACTCTATGCCTCCTCTTTTAACATATCAGCATGTATTTTTTTCTTTTTCTTTTTCTTTTTCTTCCAAAGTCCATATTTGTCATTTGATTTGCTGTATCCAGATGCAATAGACTGTGTTCTTTGCACAGATTCCATATTATGCCTCTAGGTAGTAAATAACTCAGTGCAAGAAAAATAAAAGTATGTAACATTTTGTTATTTGTATCATTAATTTTTTTTTCATAATATTCAATTTGTGTTCTGTAATACAACCTGTACTGCTGGTAAGGAATAGGATGCTGAGCATGGAAATGGCATCCTCCCTGGAGCAATGCTCTTCCAATCATGGCTCAGAGTCATAATGGGAATAATGCAAGAGCCCCTGTCTAAATGCCAAATTCCAGCTGAAATGCTCATAACAGCATGTTCGCATCACCTGCCCCTCAAGCCAAAATTTTCATGACATGATGGGGAAATACAAAGAAGAAATTGCAAAAATGAAAGAACTGAGGGGAGGAAGAGGAATAAGGGGAGAGGAGGAGAGGAATAAGAGGGAGACTAATAAAGAAAATAATGATAAATCCCTTCCTTAATGAAACTGCATTTTACATGCAACTAAAAACCTATGGTTACTAGATCTGTGACAGTTATACATTTGCACAAAATAAGATGATGGCAGTAAATGGGACTTCATAATGCTTAGTTGGGCTAGTTCTGAGAACCCTGTGATGGCAATAGGTCTGTGCTTAGTCAACAAACAGTAACAGCCATGAGCTTCCACCTGTGTGAAACTGGTTTATTTGATGGAGATTCTTTCAGTGGTAAATTAATTCAATTCATTGGCTTATGCTATTTATATATATCTTCTCAGGTTGTCTAACTGCCACTATGGAGTGCATGGCCAGAATTTTTTTCATCTAGCAATTTCTTTATATTTGTCAATTATTATTTCTTTTCATGAAAGTCGCATCTAGTCTGTCCAATTGTGATGGGGAATTCATTCCTCACTGTAATGCGATATACTGTAATATTTTTTTCTTACAAATCTAAAATATTGTTGCATTTGTGCAATCACCAGTGTAAAAACAAAGTCACAAAGTGAAAAGTTTGGATGTGGTAAGAATATATACAATCCTTTACAAGAAGATAAAGAAGAAAACCAAAATTATACCTTAGTTAATTTTTTATATGAAGACTTCTTAATATCAAGCGAGGCACCATCTGGGCAGGCTGGCACCATATGCAAGCGATAGAAATTGCTTGTTAGGATTGGCACTTCCACTTTCTTGGCTGAGGTTTTCCATGCTTTCAGGAAACAGTGGACAAGGAGCCTGTCCATAGCTTCTGGCCCTGTGCAAGAAAATTAAACAATCAAATAATGTAGTAATGTAAAAATAAACAGGAGTTTCCTAAAGGTATTATAAAAGGTGTATTTATAGTAGAAAGGAAGTTGCAGGAGAAATGTTATCATATTGATTTTTCATAATGCCATAGGTGTAATGTTTAAATTTACCTACGAATTGTGTTCCACCACAGGTAGTAAAGTATATATTGCATGTTCAAGTGAAAGACAATTTCTTTTAAATATAAGCCACAATATTCCATAACTCAAAATATACTATCAACAATATGAGGAGAGAACTACAGACATGAACAACATTAAATTGATATACCGATTGCTCTGAATCCACAAATAAAATGATAAACTTAAAAAATACATTACTTTAACAAATAAATACTGAAAAAGGAAGGAGACAATATATATACATACCGTAAACTCTCTATTAACTGAATTTCAATTAACTGAAACTATTGACCACAAAATAAATCTGATGAATACCATCTTAAGAGTGCTATAAAAAAAGTTCTTTATGCTAGAATATAAGTTTTAAGCATATTCAAATGAATTTCCAACGTTTTAAACTTATCCATGTATGTGCCAAGACAAACTTGAAGGCCATGATTCCAACCCAATCTAGCACAACCTACCACTAACTTGTGCAGCCTCTTCCTCCTGTTGTGAGCCCATATCTACTCCAGGGTCACTGTCAGGGGACTGTCCATCTGTCAGCTTGATCTCCTCAACATCATCAGCTAATTCCGAGGGGGAGTTTGTCCCGGACTCTTTTGCAGGGTCTGACACATCTGCT